AATGGGCTGTGGAGCAGCTGGCATGAGGGAAGGAGGAGGAAAGCGGCTTCCTTCATGCCGGCCGTTCCATTGATGGTTTTTCCATTGCAGCACAGCACCCAGGATCCACTTTGATAGCCGGGGATGGGGGTGGGGTGGGGTGTAATTTAACAATCGGTTCGCCTGAACTGGTGTGAACTGGCTAAATCCCAGCACTGGTTCAAGATGACTAAAAACAGGTTCCGAGCAGGGCTAGAAGAATGATCAGGGATTTTACAACTTAATCAGTATGAAAAGAGATAAAAGTTTAGGCGGAGAAAGAAATAATTTCCCTAATTATATATTTAGTGCTCTGTTTTGTGACAAAGAATAAGTATGAGTAATTAACAATTATAGGAAAGTAATGTTGCAATGAGAGGAGAGGAGAGATAATACTTTCCAAATCCGTGATAGGTTGTAATACAGAAAGAAGTCGGGACTTTTCCCCCTGTCATTACATACCACATGCAAAAACACAATTTTAACAAGGCTGTTTGCAAATGGTTTTAGAAAGAGCTTTCCAACAGAATCAATGGTTTGACAGTGGAACCAATTATGCAGAGATGTTAAGGTTAGTGCCTTTCGCTTACTATGTTCAAACAGAAGCAATCTAGAGTGCCGCCTATCTGTCTTGGGCCCAGTGTTCTTATCATCTTCATAAATGATCTAAATGAGGGAATAGACAGGGAGTTCATTAAATTTGCAGATGACATCAAGCTGGGGAGAATTCCTAACACTGGAAGATAGACTCAAGATTCAGAAGGATCTTGACAGACTTGACCTCTGAGCCTTATCCAATTCAGTGGTTTGAAAAGTAAAGGTCCTGTACATAGGCAGGAAAAACCAAACGCATAGATGTAGAATAGGTGGTACCTAATCTAGTAGTCATTACTATGAGAGGAATCTAGGTAACCTAGTGGACATTGCTTAAGTATGAGCCAGCAATATGTTGGAACTGCCAAAAAAGTTGTACGCAGCCTCAACAGAGAGATAGCATCAAGGTCACAAGAAGTGATAGTACTCTTCTATACTGCACTAGTGTGGCCACACTTGGAATACCGCATCCAGTTCTGGTTGCATGATACAAAAAAGATGCTGAGAAAGAGGACAGAGAAGAGCAACAAAAATGATAAGAGGTCTGGAGACTAAACCAAATGATGAATGTTTAAGGGAACTAGGTATATCTAGTCTAATATAGAAAAGGATTAGGAGTGACCTGATAGTTGATTTCCAGTACTTGAGTCACAGAAATGAGGGGCAGGAGAGGAGGTAATTGGGTGGAAGCTCGTTAAAGAGTGACCCCAACCTCGAATTTTTTTGACAGTGAGAACAATTAAGCAATGGAACAGTTTGCCTCTTTGAGTCACAGGTACTCCATTGCTGGAGGTTTTCAAGAAGATTGGAAATCAATTTACCAGGAATAGTAGAAGACCTCCTGTCTTGGGCAGGGCATTGGACTAGAAGGCTTCCAAGGTCACTTCCAGCCCTATCATTCTATGATTCTATCCTGGATGCTTTAGTTTAGATATCTACATTCAGTAAAAGACAGGCTATCATGGCAAAATCCTATGATTCTGTTGCCTTTGACCAGGAATTTAATTCTGTGTAAGTTTAATTAAACATTGAATATTATAATGCATAGTTTCACACTTATTAACTTTGTATGACTACAGCACGTTTGATGGGAGCATGAACACGACATACCATTTAATTTTTAAAATTTTTTAACTATTACCTGGGGAAGCGCTTTGTTCTAGAAAACATTTTGTTATAGTAAAATATGAGATATATTTACTTGACTAAATTAAGTAAACATATAGTGACATATAATATTAGAAAAGAGTGCAGGCGACTGAAGAGTGAATGTTTTTAGACAGGGAACAGAAAATAATCAAATGATTAATCTAACTGGAGAAGATCGGCAAATTCCTAAAATCATTATGACATAATTATGACTTTTATCTAGTATATTTCCTTAATAGTTTTGAAATTAATCTAGGCAGCAATAAATCAAACAGTACCTCAGAAAAATATTTTGAAAAGAACTTAAATCCACACTATAAAAGGTATCATTAACTTAAGTAGAATAAATACTGGTTTAAAATTGTTTACTTCATAAGAATAGTTACTTAGATCCAAGAAAATAAAATGAATGTGATAATTTCTATTTTAAATATTATACAAATCCTTAAAAAAGAAAACTTACCTTGCTATTGTATTCAATTGGACAATTTAAATTAATTATTCCATTTTCTGTGAAGGGTAAATTAAATGGCTCAGTGAAATATTGGCAAGAAATATAATTTTAGGTGTTGTAACAGTAAAATAGAATAGAATCAGCTTCTGAATAAACTAATATAGGAGTATGCTTCTACTTAGGGAATGGATTTATGGGATTTGCAATTAATTGATATTTACCTTCCTGTTATTTTCCAACTCAAGATGCAAACTGCTTTCTCCATTGCTTGAAAGAGGCACCTCAGTTTTTTCACCACAAAGCACATTCTCTGCAATATGAATGTTTGGTGTCAAGAACATACATTCATTCTTTCTGGTTTCTGAGGAGAGGCAAAGCTGGTAGGAATAAGGCAGAGTCCCATCCTGAAAATTGGGTGGAAATAGGACTCCAGCTGTGGATTGGGGAGTAGGACCAAAGCACTGTAGGAATCTAGGACTCCCTGCATGCCGCAGTTTTATTGCAATTGCCAGAATCACTGTCAAGAGAAATAGGAATGACATCACAGCTAAGGCCACCACCAAATAGAACTGCAAGTCCGACTGATCCTCTGAACTCTTCATCTGGTTTTTCATCTCTGGAAGGGCCTCCTGGAAGTTCTCAGCAAACACCAGGTTCAGAGTGACAGAGGCCGAGAGAGTCGGTTGTCCATTATCCTTCACCAGAAGGACCAGTCTCTGTTTCACAGCATCTCTTTCCAAAAAGGTTCTTGCTGTGATGTCATTCCTATTTCTCTTCTCAGTGATTTTGGCAATTGCAATGAAACTGCGGCATGCAGGGAGTCCTAGATTCCTACAGTGCTTTGGTCCTACTCACCAATCCACAGCTGGAGTCATATTTCCACCCAATTTTCAGGATGGGACTCTGCCTTATTCCTACCAGCTTTGCCTCTCCTCAGAATCTAGAAAGAATGAATTTACCTTCCTGGCACCAAACATTCATATTGCAGAGAATGTGCTTTGTGGTGAAAAAAGTGAGGCGTTTCTTTCAAGCAATGGAGAAAGCAGTTTGCATCCTAAGATAG